ACACACGCGTACCCACATTCACACTCACACACTCAAAAAAACATAACTGCGTTGTCTCGTCTACAACATGCACTCAGACTCACGTACGTACGAGAGCCCATAAGTCTTCTGTTATGGCGAGTACATAAATTCCTGGCGACCGGAGTGTACTCACATCCACACCAGCTCAAGGAGACCAGAGCCCACAGGGACTCATTCGTGTGGCATCGTGGTGAAATCAGGTGCTCGTCAGGATTCTGATAGCAAACAAACATACGTTGTTTGTTTTTTTTCGCATTTTCGGCAGTTGCTGGCGATATTTTTTCTCAACACCTTTTATATCTATATCTATGTTAAAACACATTCCTAGCTTGATTTTTACTGAAAAGCGTGGATCATAGGCACAGCAACTTGCATTTGCAGTTTCCAAGGATATTCAAGCTTTGGAAGTCATCACACTTTGGAGACCATTTTCTCTCTATTTTTCCCTCACAAACCAGACGAACCCCTCCTCCTTCAAACTCAAATATATCGAATTCCATTTAAGTTAGATAAGTATTTTTCATCCGAAAAAAAAGGCGAACGAACAGGCTCTGATATTAAACAAATAACTCCATATGCTCATAAATTGACGAGCGCCTGATTCCACTATGTCGAGACACATTTTGTTAGTTTTTGGCGTAGTCGGGTTCCTGCTGAGGTGAGCTGCCGAGAGGTAGCCAACTAGGGTACCCAATTAAATGGCAACCGTCACCGTCGGGTTTGGGGCCACGTCACCACTAACTAACCTTGACCAGTTTGCTAACCGTTTTATTTTTGCGGGGTTTTGGCAGAAACGCCTTCTTTATCGCCCATTCCCTTTTTTTTATCTTCTAAATCAACAAGGCTAACTCAAAAAGATATAGCATAATTAATAAATAAGTTTGGTCCATCCCATTGTCTGACAGTTATATCACTCACATCATACAGTCAATGGTTGTACTGTTTGTCTTGCTGTGCTTTCCGGTCTGTATTTTTTCCCTTTAACTTTAATATCTTCCTTCCCTGTAGAAAAAAACAACGTTATCTTCCTGAAACATCGTGCAGGCCAAAAGAAGAGGTGCAAGGAAGTTAAACTCAGTGTTTGTAATAGTGCACTTTCTTTCCTGCAACTCCCTCTCTTCTGTCTCTCTCTCTCTCTCTCTCTCTCTCTCTCTCTCTCTCTCTCTCTCTCTCT